AGACACCATAGTGTTCCGTTATCACATCAATGTAAACACCGATGTGTGGCCTGTGTAAAATGATAGAAGCCGTAAAGTTCTAACAGGACTTCCAACCAGTCATTGTGAAGCATCTGAAGTAGATGTCACTCTGGTTGTTATGGCATGATCATAAAGATCAGCAATGAAAACTTTGTAGCCCCCCGGGGTCGCGTAGACACCCGTTATCATCACCATAGAGATAAACTCTAAAGCGATGGCCTGAACATGTTGGTGATTTCTAGGTTGCAACAGCAGGACTTCCTTCCAATCATTGGTCTACATCAATAGTAGATGAGCCCTATGGAAGTTCTCGCGAGTCATGAAGACCTGCAACTGACTCTAAAAGTGTTTGTGTCCTAGAAAATTCAAAACATTTGGGAATGAGATAACTAGACACAACGTGATCAATGATAGTTCAGTGGCATGGGGCTGAGACCACTGCAGTCAGTATCACTTGCCTCGGAAGGAGACAGTAATAATAGATGAGGTTCCCCGTAAAATATGATTAAGCACATGTCTGTTGGGAGACAAGTGAGTGGTCTAGGGTAGGGTTGTGCATGCGCCGTTTGGACAAAATGCAGCGACTTCTACCCGGGATCTGAATAAATCCAGTCCTGGACCTATGGGGAATTGTCCGGATTATTTGAGTGACTGGGAGTAATTCTCTCAATTGAAAGCGCAATTGAGGTAGCAGACATGTCATTGATTATTGTTTTCTCGCTCACATGAGCCTTCTGCTTCCTCACTCTCATAGTGTTCACTCAGTTACCCACTCACTCTCGGCTTTGCCCCTTGGGTAGGCTTAGTTGGGTTTACTAAACCATTTGGACTTATCTCTCATTTCTCTTTGCTCTTTTCTCTCTATGCTCCCCCTCAACTGTAGCACTCAGTAGGATGTCTTTGATGATAATTGGCGCTTGGGAGGGGAACCTTGAAAACTCCCCCTCAAAATCTGCATCCTTGAGAGAAACCTTGTGTTAGGTTTAGAGTTGCCGGTTACAGGGGTAGTAACCGTTGTCACAACATCGGTAGAGATAACCGGTGTGTGGCCTGCAGATAATGATTGAGTTATCTGTTGAGCAGCAGGACTTCCGATCATCATCGACGTATCTCCGATCGTTGTTGACAGGTAAAGTGGACCTGTAGAGTGTGGTTGTGTGAAGAGTGTATGTGTCCTAGAAAAATTAGAAAATATATGGAGGGTGACACCTAGACACAACGTGGTAGAAGGAGGGGTAGTGACCTAGGGCTGGTGGTCACTTTAGATATCCTCGACTGCTCCGAAATAGGGCAGAGAGGTGGGTATGAGATCCCCTAATATTGAAACTACTACCTGTTGGGGGGCAGTATAGTGGCTAGGGGAGGCTTGTGTATGCGCAGTTGGGCTGGATGCTACGTCTTCTCCTTCAGCACTTGTGGTATTTTGAATAGCAAATCCATTAAAGAGGTACATTGTAGTTTCGTACTGTTAAATGAATAAACTAAATAAAATCCAATTCATTACAACAATAATATGTGTAAATCATCACACTGTTTTGTGCATCTGTAAAGACATGCACATTTTGGCACTGTTTTGACATTTCCATATTAAGTCATTTTCTTGTATCAAAATTACATAATTCGTGTAAATCAAAGTGCCAATGAAAGAAGTTACAAATGAGTCTTTCATTCTATGAGACACTTTCTGAATAATTAGAGTTCTCTATTTCTATGGACTTGTTAGTAGAAGAGATTGTCTCACAGTAATTATTCATCCTAAAAGAAATGAAGTGTAGAAACTTACCTTGCGTGGGGATATAGATGAGTGGGTAGTTGTCTGCAATAAGTGGAGCCTGCTACTCTGTTGTTTGTAGAAGAAGATATAGAAACTACTTTGAAGTTGGGTGGGGTATATTTAAAAGAAACATTGGGAGAGGGGAGAATATAACAGGAATAGGATTTTTAAGGTTGTGGTTGTATCGATTCTCGTACTATTTTGAATAGTCTTATCTGATTTATAATTTTTAAAAGTCAACATGTTGGTTTCATTTTTCCACGTGAGATGGCAACATTATATTTAACTCTGCAATAATGTCTTGAATATGGAAGTTATTGACATGTCAGTAATGTTTGCAATATATTATCATCTTTTTCTTTAACTTCTATTGGGACTTGAGTCCTTTGTTTATATTTTGGAGTTTATTACTTTGATTTCAATACCCATATGTACCAAAAATAACTTTGCAATATATTATCATCTTTTTCTTTAACTTGTATTGGGACTACGAGTTTGTATTTATTTTGTTTTCATAAACGAAAAGAATTACATTAACAATTATGAAACACAACATATTGTTCTTCTGCTAACCATGTTATTACATTTAATGTCCAACTATATTGGCAATATTGCCAAGAAGTGAATATGGTTGTTTTTTGACATAGTCAAACTAATGTCACTAAATGTCAACTTTTCAATACAAGTACCTTGACAAAAGAAAGCAAAGAAAATATGTCTCATGTTTCAATACAAGTACCTTCACAAAAGCAACAGAAATAACCATAAAAACCACTACAACAATCCAAACATACACACTCAATCCCAATGGCATGTCCATTTAAACACACTGAACTCAATATTCATTAACCACACCCTTTCTATTCCTTGTTTGCCTTGCTCAACCTTTTTTTTGTTGTATTCAATCAACTCTGAGACCATTTTCTTTCTGAACATGTCCATGTCTCAGCTGTCAATTCGCAGAAGTCCATTTCCATCATTAAGAACTCTGCAATTTTTAGTAGAAATATTCCACAATTTCCCCTGTAACAAACACCCTCGGTATTAGTATTTTTCATGTAATACTATTTCATATATGTAACTTCTTAATTCTTTTACTTACGATGAATCTTGGTGTGGGCAGTCTTCAGCACCTTCAATAAGAATCTTTTTGTCTCCCATTGGTTCTTCTTCCATTGCTTCATACACAGTGTGGAAATCCAGAACTTTGGGTAGCATTTTTTGAATGCAATCTTTGTACGCCACAATGTCACGTAGTGATTCGCCTCTCCTCTTATTTGAGTTGTGCACTTTAATCTTCATTGCATTCACTTCAAACACATATAACACACAATGACACTCAGTGTTCAATGGCATATAAATGAAATCAGCACCTGCCCAGTGCAACTACAAGTTTGTTGCAGTTCCCAAAATGTAGTGGCACACATTGTCTTTCTCTGCTGCCTCTTTCACTATGGTCTTTCTAGCTAACATCATGCCATACTCCCTCTTTAGAACTTGCACAAAAAATGGTTCTGTGGTCGTGTATTTCTGCCTCAACTTGAAGTGCGCTCGCTTCATTTGCAGATAGTACATCCACACGTCTACATGGTGCAAAAACATAGTAGATACAAGTTGTTATTAATATATTTTCTTTATTTATTTTATTTGAATAATAGATTATACCTTGTCAATTAGCTGTTGGTGGTTTAGAAATAGGTCATGCAACCAAGTTTTTTACTCTATCTTCACTATTTAAAAAACTAATGGTTTATTGGACATCTTTATGTGCTAGTAAGAATTCTTCTTCTTCTTCTTCTTATTTTGCTCTCTTGGCCTTTTCCTTTCTTCTTCTTTTTGCTTCAGCAGTCTGCCCTGCTGGTGTGTATCTGACTGGAGATTTGGCAATTCTCTTCGCTCTTTGAGTTTGTGTAGATGTTTTCTTTTAGGTTTCATAAAAAACAAACACTCATCAGTCACCAATTAGGTCACGGTTAAGTACAGTGCCAAAGTAAACATGACATTCACATAATATTTAAAAGTTCTCACTGAAATTATTGTCAACACATGCACTTTGCTTCCTGTTTCTCTTGTCTCATTGTTTTTTCCTTCACCTCTTCCATTGTTTCTTTTCCAAACACTTATCTTTCATTGATACACAATTCTGTAATGAATTGTATTTTTTCTTGACTCCAAATTTCATCATCTGCTTCTTCCTCGTCTATGTCATTTCCCCTTTCCTTGTTTTCTTCTCCTCCACCGTTATTTGTGATCTGCATAAATTTAATAAAACTCTTTGTTATGTCATTGTAGTGCATATATGATGTTATATTGTATGACAGAATGCAACTATTGTCATATTTGTGGCAATTGATGCGTTGTATTACCTTTTCATTTTGTGCACTACCTTCGGCATTTCCTTTAGACCCACTCATATTCAACCTGGATTCTTCTTCCTTATCATTGATCTTCTTCTATAACAAATAATAATTTCATTTTATAAATGTAAATCAAATGGAAAGTTAATTGCATTATTTTTCTTCTCCATTATATATAACATACAACTGTCTCACATGACAAAATATTACATGGCACCTTTTCTTGGGTATCTCCTCCACTATCTTTACTTACATTGTCATCCATGCTTTTCTGTTGATCATTCTTCTTCTTGTTCTATAATAAATAAACATGTCATAAATGGAAACCAATGAAAAAATAAACTTGAACTTAATTAATTTATCATTACCAAAGCACTTATTAGTTGTATGTCCTCTTCATCCTCGGTGCTTGTATTTGCATCTATTTGTGCAACCATATTTGATATGTTAAAATTGGGGCCACTGCAAGGTGTGGGAATGACTACATTTGTTATTGCTTCATCTTGTACTTGTGGACCTTGTGGTGCTTCTTTATGTGGTGCTTCTGTATCAACTTAGTTGTTGTTGATGCTTCCATTCTCTTTTTCACTTTCAGCCTTGTTGCCATCCATAATTTCTTCACCTTCAAATGCCTTTCATTCTGTATTCATCTTCTTCACATTCTTTGAAACGTCCTTCACCAAACGAATAAGCTTATTTAACATCACCTCCTATTTGTTTTGCTTATTCCTCAAATTCCTTAAATCTGTCAGAATCTTGATATTTTGTTTTGATTGGCAGTCAAATCTCTTCAGCATCATCTTTTTCACTCCCCCTATTGGAACTCTCACCTTCACTTTTTTTTCGCCACTCTCATCTTCAAGGTTTTCCTTTGACGCTTCTTTTCTTTGCTCTAGAGCTGCACTCTGCTTTATCTTTTTGTTATTTCCCCTTCTTGCTTTCAGACTTCCTCTTTTTGGTGGTTGCTGCAACGCCTTTTTTGCAAACTTTCTCTTTTCCCTTTGTTGCCACTTGTTCATTCTTATTCTTTTCTTCTCCCTCTCATTGAATCAACTCTAGTAACCTTACTCGTTCATCTAGTAACCTTGCTTCAGCAAGTCCTTGGATTTTTTTTTCATCTCTTCAACAATTGGCACTTCTCTCTTCCACTCAAACTGTAAACACAAACCACATATATTTCTTCATTACACATTTCTTTATTTAATAAGGATATGTAAATTTAAAAGTAGATATGGTTCAAGTACCTTAGCAGCATTATCGTATATGAGGTTACAGAAGAGTTCCATTGATGGCTTCTTGTGGAAAGCCCATTTCAGTGTTCTGGGAATCACATTTTCTCTGCCTTGAATAATGTTGCGCAACCCTGTGTTAGCCAGACTCGGGAATGTTTCAAAGGCCCAGATTTGAAGTGCATGCATACATCCCGGGAATGCAACTCTTTTTCCTTCGCAGACGTTCAATATTTGTGTGCTTCTCTTGATGTTTATAACCAAGTCCTCCCACACATCATCTCCCCAAGGGTATATGTTGAATGCTTCAATATCATGAACCAACTTTATGTACTTCTCTAGTCATGACCTAGCCAATTGGTGTCCTAATAAACCATGTGCTAGCACATGAAACCTAGCTTCACACCATCTTCCTTTGTTATGTCTAGGTCAGTGTGGTCATAAGCCTCCATAGCACTGATCACATCTTGTCTAGAAATTACTTGCTTATTGTCAAAATACCATCTAGAGAAATCTCCTATCAGATCATCTCTTATTGTTCTCACTCCACCAACCTTCAGCGCCAGCAACAATGTCATATCTGATCTGGTAAAACTTATAACAATACTGCCTATGTGAAACCTTATCACACTCTTTTCAGAGATGTTGTTAAATTGCTCAATATAGCTCCCTGCAAGTGCTATGCATAACTGCCCACTCAACCTTGGCATTTGTTCAATGTCGATCACCCATCATGTTGTCCTTGTTTCATCCAACAATCACACAAAATATATATGAAATAGAGAAGAATGAGAAGCTTGGGTGACACAATACTTCATATTCAAATCATTCACATATTTTCATTCATTCATTACAAATAGAGAAAAAGGTCAAATAAGGTCTTCTATTATTACAGAATCGTCACATAAGGTCGTTTACTCAATAAAGTGTCATATAAATACTTCTACTTATAAAAAGCAATCAGATGAGTCCTAAAGACCTTTTGACAACCTCGTAATCCCGGATTTTGCGTACCTCTGACTATCTTTTTTAAAGAGATTATAAGGTTGACATGGAATATTTAGCCAGGATTGGCTTAAATACAAGACAAAAATAACCACACGTAAGCTAAAGTCAGAATTAGGAGGTTTGCAATGGGTCGCTAGAACTCATCTGATTGCTTTTATAAGTAGACGTATTTATCTGACATTTTATTGAGTACATTGCCTTATGTGAGGATTCTGTAATAGTAGAAGACCTTATTTGACTTTTTTCCCTTACAAATATCACACACCTAAGTTTGACCATTTTTGCTAGAATCCGGGTATTGTAAAACAATGATTCATATGTAAATCATTCATTCTCTCATGACATATTTTGAAACCCTAGTTTTTGGCACTCCTTGCCAGAATACAGGTAGTTTAACACAATAATTCATATGTAAATCATACATTCTCTCATGACACATTTTGAAACCCTCATTTTTGCAATTTTTGCCAGAAAACATGTAGTTTAACACAATGCTTCAAATTTGAATCTTTCATTCGCTCATGACACATTGTGCAATAGTAGTATTTGGCACTTTTTTTTTCTAATTCAACTAGAGTAAGAGAAGACATTATTATTGAAACTTTCATTCCGTGTTTACACATTTGGTAAACCTATAATTTGGCAACTTTTGTCCTAATTCATATAGTCTAAACCATGTATTATTATTAGAAAATGAAATAACAATAACTGCAATTAGTACAATTATTACACATGATGTACAAGTGTTTAGGTATTTACAACATATATACACTACATAGCAGCACATAAAGACAATTACATCTATTATCAATGAGGATTCAATTCTTCTAAATCATGTAGTAAATTTCGTAATTATACATGATTAGCAACTCATAAACACTTTATATTTGTTTGATAGTTATTACAGCATACCACTTCTTCGTTGATTAAAACTTTTTGTCCATGTGATTCAAAGTCGGAATCAGATATGTTCTCTGTTTTTCTTCTCGCAAAGTTTGTCTTTCTAGCCAAGTTTGTCCTTCTCGCCAAATTCGTCGTTCTTCTCTCCAATTCGGAACCAAACGAATGCAATTTTTCTCGAGTGTTGAACGTTGTTGTTTGTGTTATCCATGTTCATGCTTTAATGGAGTTGTTATTGTATGCGAATAAAAAAAGCTTTGCTGTTTTTTCATTTTAAAATTTTTCGTTGGCTGCACAGACCGGTTACCATCGCGTTCGTCGCACGTGTGTTGTAAAAAAACTGTAGCTTCCTTTCATTAAGGGTATTATGGTCAGTTTCTTAAAACTTCCATGTGAAACATAAGTCAACCATACAACTCCTATTTTGGAATACTTTCTACCTTTTAGTCTTTTACTCCCATATTGGGAATTTTCTCAAAAAAAAAATTATGATTGATATTGGTGCGATTTTTAAGAAGAGTATGGATTAATATTGAATTAGTAGAGTGTGAATAGATTAAAAAAGAATTAGAACCAAACAAATATTTCTAAATATATTATGAAACAAACTTAGGGGTGTTTGGAATTGATTCTAAAAGCAGAAGCAGAATTAGTGTTTCAGAAACTGGTATCACCAAGCTTCTAAAAACTACTTCTAGGAGCAATTTGGAGCACCAAAAGTATTTCTACACTTTTAACCCAAATACTCTAATATCTGATTCTGCTCTCTGAAGGAGAGAAACAGTTTAAGAAGCCGAAACAATTTTAAGAAGGGAAAGTTCCCGAAATAGGACTAAAAAAGTTTGGAAATTCCAAAATAGGACTGTCATGTTTTTATTCCTAAAATAAGAGTAATTACTGCCATATTTGAAGTGTGGTACTACCAAAACATGACAGTAATTAGTCCTATTTTGGGAATAAAAACATGGTAGTCCTATTTTGGAATTTTCTAACTCTTTTAGTCCTATTTCGGGTAATATCTCTTTTAAGAAGCAATGTATTGCATTAAATATGGGTTTCTTAAATTTGAATGGGTTGACCTGGGTTGCTCCTGGATCCGATTCTCAAAACATAGATTGTTGTTGAACATGAATTGACTTTCCAATTACAAAAGAATTTAAATGAATAAATAGAAAACTCCTATCTGCAGGATGTAAAACACAAGTAAAAGAAAATAGATAGGCGGTGACCAAACTTAAACTAATCCGCACATGAATAAAGCAATAGCAGGTGACCGAACTTAAACTACTCCCCAAAGATCGAAAGTGATGGCAGGACAATGCATGAGATAATACCGCAGAATTTTGCATTCAGGCAAGCAAAAAAGGAGATATCGGATGGTGAAAGTTGAGAGATTTTCTACTGGTCCATTCATATATCCAACCTCCTTTATCAAGGCTGTTGTTGTACCCGTCTCCACTAAAAGTGAAGTTAGACATCAAGGTCCAAAATTTTATGGAGGATGGCCTGCCTGTGGTTTGGTTGCACTGGTATTTGTGTAGCAGCAGCAGAACTGCTCGCTACTCGTCCCACTATGGAAGGGCAGAGGAAACTAGCAATTATAGCAGCAGGAGCTATTGGTGGCAGGCACCACGCACACAGTAGCAGCCATTGTCAGCTGCTGCCACCTGTGGAAGATGCTACTCCTGTCCTGCTATTTTAATTATCATTACTAGTTGTGCAATACCAACAGCAATGGCAACTATTACCAGTTGTCTTTCCTTGTACATGGTGCCTATAAAACATTGATGATGAAAATGTGGGCTTTGCATCAATCTATTCATTTATTTATAAATTTGGTCTCCCAAACCACTGGGCAACAAGACTTGTAAAGATCAGAAGCAAACTTTGGTAAACTGACATATTCATTTCCCTCATTATTTGTATAGCCAATCAACCTGTCCAAACAACAACTAAAGAGTGCAACAAAAACACAAAGTAGCATCAACAACTTCATAAACATAACCATGGTACTAAGGCACAACAACAAATATAGTTTAAAATATACAATAGAAACAAGTAAAGATCAAAATTAACCTTTTCCGGTGTTTCTATTCAGTATCTGAGGGTAAATGTGAATAAGAATCACAAGATGAATCTTCTAGAGAAAGGTTGTTCAACCCAGGCTTCAATTCTTGATTGCAGAACACCTCAAACTCAACTGTATCCCCTCCCTTCTTCTTTACTTCTACAACTCTCAAAGATGGAGTTAGTTCAAATATCTCAGCAGCTATGGTTAAAGGCCCTTTTGCACCTTCCTTGGTCCCTTCAAGGCTAATCCTACAATCCTTCTTCCTCACGGAAAAGCTGACGACCTTAGCAATCTCTTCCAACTTGTTTATGATCTTATACACAGGGGCGCGAGATAAGAACCGCTCACCATCTCCTCCATCCTCAAACAATCCAGAAAGATCAAAACCACGTGAAAATGAAATAATATCAAAGGCATTCAAGCTAGAAGGCCTGGGCAAACTGTTTATCCTCTTCCTGCTCTCCATCTCGGATTCTGATTCTGACAAATCAGAGGAGTAATCAATCCTGTCATCTATGACATTACATAGTTTATCGTCCTCTATGTAAAATTTGACGTTCTTAAACCCCTTCTTGAACCATCTATTGTTCATTATCTCGGCAATGGTTATCCTTGTTTCTGGATTGGTATGGAGCAATCGAGAGAGTAACCTTGTTAGTTCAGGAGAAAACCATCTAGGGCACCTGAATTCACCTTTATAGATCTTCTTATACATAGACATGATGTTTTGGTCATGGAAGGGCAGATAGCCTGCCATCAGAACAAACAGAACCACTCCGCAGGACCATATATCTACCTTGGCAGCATCGTAGCCTTTCCTGGCCAATACTTCCGGCGCGACGTAAGCTGGGGTGCCGCAAAACGTGTGAAACAAACCGTCCTGTTTGATCTGCTCCGATATGGCGCTCAATCCGAAATCGGAAACCTTCACATTCCCGTCTTCGTCGAGCAGTATGTTCTCCGGCTTCAAATCGCGGTGGTAAACGCCGCGGGCGTGGCAAAACGCCACCGCGGAGATCAATTGCTGAAAATACCTCCGGGCATCCTCCTCTTTGAGCCTCCCCTTGGCGACCTTGTTGAACAGCTCCCCGCCCTTGACGTACTCCATGACGAAGAAGATCTTCGATTTGGTCGCCATCACCTCGTAGAGCTGGACGATGTTAGGGTGCCGGACACGGCGAAGAATGGAAACCTCCCGCTTTATGTGAGCAGTGAGGCCGACTTTGAGGATCTTCTCCTTGTCAATCACCTTGATCGCTACGCTCTCATTGGTCTTGACGTTCCTCGCGTAGTAGACCTTCGCGAACGTCCCGTGGCCGAGCAGCTTGCCGATTTCGTACCGGTCCAGCAAAAGCCCTCCGGGGTATTCTTTCTTGCTGGAGCTTCTCGCCGCGGCGGCGCTTGCTGCCATGGGGAAGGAATACACCAAACACCAAGTCTATTCGCGATGAAGGTGGGTGTAAATTCTAGTCTATGAACAGAAATGAACGCATAAATAATTTTTCCAATCCAATACCTCTTATTTCGTAACGACATATGCAGGTCCTCTGGTAGGTGGGTGTGGATGAATTCTAGCAACAACTAGAGATTTGTACATATATACTAGTCACTTTCCCAAAATTTTGTTTGTCCCCAAAATTTGTTACTTTCATTTTAAAATAATAAAGTCTATTAAAGTCAATTAAGTCTCTCATACTCTGACATCGTTCATTAAAGCCCCTGAAGTCTCAAAAAACAACCAATTGAACTATTCTCTTCATTCTTTTTTAGTTACAATACTTTCTTATTTAGATAGTTTCAAAATAATTGCAACATTATCTTCATTCTTTTTTAGTTACAATACTTTCTCATACTCTCCGACATCGTTCATTAAAGCCCCTGCAGTCTCAAAAAACAACCAATTGAACTATTCTCTTCATTCTTTTTTAGTTACAATACTTTTTTATTTAGATAGTTTCAAAATAATTGCAACATTATCTTTATTAGTAATAACTAATAAGAAATAAGCATATGACTATACTACCCATTAATCCAGTAAAGCAATGCTCCGTACTAAACAATCTTAGCCACAAATTAAATTCCATCTGCCCACCCCTTCTTCATCATTCCCATTCCTTCCATTTCTTCATCCTTCATTTCTTTTATCCAAAAAATCATCTCATTTACAAAAAAACCCAACAAAAACAATTCTGAAGCAAAGCTTAGGGCAGGCCACGATTATCATCTTCCTAGTAATTTCCTTCGGTTGTTAGAGCTCAATCGCGGAGGTCCGCTATTAATGACCGCCCGAAAGCTTTGTTCACGACCCAAGCAACAGCAACATAGTGAAGAGACTCCAGCAACGAAGGTAGCAGCAGAACAAAGTGGGTCCTCCACTTTCTCCGGCGACGCCCGCTGTCTGACTACGCCGACGACTGAGGGCATCTACGGCTACCTGGAGGCTTCATCGGTTACAGTATAACAAAGTGGGTCCTCCTTTTTCTTCTTTCTTTTTCGTTTGTTACTTTCGTGCATCAAATTACTTTATGCCATTTTCTTAATTTGTGTGTCATTGGGCCATGTTGCATCTAATTTGGAAAGGAGGATATTATTTGGGAGGTCACCATTCGATAAGCCCGTTACATGCTGATTTGGTTGTTTTCCACTTTCATTATTAATATGTACTCTTCGTCACATTGAGTCTCACTACCTCCGTCCCACTATATTTGGGACAAGGGGTGTGGCACAACTTTTAAGAAAAAGTGGAATTGTGTGGTTGATATTGAATTGATAAAATGTGAATAAAGTAAGAATGAATTGTAATCACCCAAATATTACGAAATATGATATGAGACAAACATAATGGGACGGACGAAAAAGGTAAAATGGCACAAAGTTAGGGGGACGGAGGGAGTATTATTTATTTCCGACCACCAACCCTCTTCTCTCCTCAGATTCGTCATCCGTCGTTTGTGCACCATCAACGATGTCGAATGCATCTGAATCTACTCCCAACTAAGGACGAAGTTGTACCCTAGACTACGAGACGCCTGTGTACTGCCATTGTGGATTGAAATTCTCTCCGTGTGTTAGACGGGAAAGCGGAAGAAGTTTTTATGGGTGTCAAAATTGGTTGGTAATTAATTATGTATTGCGTTCATTCGGGTGTGAGTATGGATATGAGTGTAGTAATTATAAGTATATGTCATTTGTATTTTATTGCTGTTAATGTGATTTTTGGGCGTAAAACAATATTAGCGTTTAATTAATTTTGGTATTGGTCGTTTGGCCGTAGAAATTCATGAAACTGTATCCATGTTCGTTTTTACATTATTTGGGGACATTCAATTTCAGGGTGATGGTTGTGTTTTTCATGTGAAAGGATTCGGCAGAAACAAAAGGCCCAATTGTTGATACATTGGTGAAGACGAATAGAGATGATGATGTCAAGGCCTTGATTTGTGGACTCGCCGAACACATATGTGCTGTAGAGGGATAACTTTGTTGTGTTCGAAAGATTGTTGAAAAAGAAGCACAAGATAACAAAAGATTTAGACAGATGTGTGATTTATTTTTCATTGTAGTAGTTCCTTTTCTCTGTACTATGTATACGCATGTTGATAAGTCCGTATTTAGACACACATTTGATGCGTGTTGGGATCGGTTTTTGATGGTTTTCCTAGCTTTAAAGTGTTACAAGTCTCAATTTTAGCTCAAGTTATGTTTACCGGGCGTTGGTTCGAGTTTTGTGTTGTTTGGAGTCAAAATCAGGAATTTAGAGTCCGGCACCGACGCTTGAGAAGCAATCGGGAAGAGTTGGAGAACATTCGAGAGAGATTTGAGAGTTTTGGAGGCCACCGGGAGGTTCACGGCGAAGATTTGATGAAGAAACGGCCTTTGGATTGATTAAAGAAGTATCCGGGAACAAACCGTGAAGAAAATGGCAAGAAAACGGTCCAAGAGCATTCCGCGCGCCCCGCGGGCGATTCTGAGAGCAAAAAGTTGAGGGGTCTGAACCACACACCACGCGGTCCAGAAATAGCCCTCAGAAGTACCCGCGCGGTTGCATAGTGCGGCGCCCACACACCGCGCGGGCGGAGCGAAAATCGGAAGACGGAAAAACGCGCGTGTGACCTCCACGGCGTGCGGACGACCGCGCGGCTTGATTTTCGGCCAGATTTTGAGTTTTTCTTTAAGTAGGCCCCTGTTTTGCCTGTTTTTGACTTATGAGCTTAGAGAGATGAACCCTATTTCGACTTTTGAGAGCTTTTCAAGCCTTGTTCTTCAAGATTAAGGGATTCTTTGTAAGTTCTATCTTTTTAATTAATGACAATTATTTCTATTCATCTCAATTTCGTTGATTATTCAATTATGAATTGCGAGTAGTTTTAATTAGGGATTTGCGATTGATGAAGGGGTTAATCATGATTTATGGCTAGATTCTGGTCTGTTTAATTACATGAATGCCGTCTAATTTGTGTTTGAATAATTTAATTGATATCTTTTGTGACCTGGAACCGCTGCTAGAATTACAATTGTTTGTAGAATAAGTTAAGAGAGATCTAATTTATTCTAGGACACATTCACACACACTTAATCGTTTGCTAAGAGATTAGTAGCGATAAAGGGGTCATAAGCTCGCTCGTCTTGGCAATAATTTAGGATCCTGTCGCATGAGAGATCAGCCTGGTCCCCTAAATTAGTAATGATTAGCTAGGCTCAATTAAATTAAATTCATGAAATTAGGCCTGATCTGCCAGAAATCTGATTACCCCGGAATCAATCCTTGTTCCCTTCGTCGTTAATTGAGAAGAAACCAATCTTTTAGTTTATCGTTCATTCGCATTAATTTAATTTTAATTCACCAATCAATCTCGCACACTTGCATTTATTTATTCTATTTCTTTCTAATCGCTGAATTTAGTTAATCTTTGATTCCCTTTTGTCCGTCCCTGTGGAGACGATACTCGTACTTACACCACTATATAACAATCTATTTTAAGTGCGAGAAAACACACATCAGTTTTTGGTGCCGTTGCCGGGGACGGTGTCAGTTTTAAGGATTAATTAATTTCAGCGGGATTTTTTTTAGTTAGTTTTCTTTTTGTTCTTCGTAGGATTTTTCTGTGCTAACCTTTCAGGTAATTTTCAAAGAGGCATGAGATGAACTCATTCAGCCAAATTCCTGGAGGAATTCCCTACCCTCAAACCTCCATGGAATATTCACCATATACGTCATACCCTCCTTACACTCCTCCTCCTCAATTCTACATGTAACACTGTCCCCAGATATATTTACTTTTATGTAAATAATGTATTGAACCTTATTAAAGGATTAATGAATTTACGAAGTTGTAAATTTTTATTATTTCTTTCGCGTAAATAGTAAATTGCACGTGGGACCCACACCGGGAGCGGCGGTCGCCCGATATTCCCGAGACCACATAAATTATTCTTATGGGTCGAAATAATATTTATATAGTGGTGGACAACTTACTTGGGCCTTGGGAAGGCCTGGGGTTGACCGATTGGTCAAAAGAAGCCCAAATACCGGTACCGACAATTTATCAGAAACAGCCCGCAAATGAATTTCGGAGACTTCTAAATTTAAGTTTTGGAATATATATTATTTCAAAAGGACATTATGATTGAGAACACGTAATATATTTTATTTGACCCGATAAAATAAAATATACTTTAAACAGTCCGAAAAATACAACTTTCAGGGCCGAATATACATTTCGGGACACAAAGGGATGACCTCCCACATGGGTGGGGGCCACCCCACGTTTTTGTGTGCTCAAATTGACTAAATGAAAGCTGGTAGTACACTTGATGGGAGGGTGAGACAATTGGAGACATCAAAGGGGTCTCTCCCACCCTTATTAGCTAAATGGGACAAAAAGAACTCATCCCCCTCTTCCCTCATCATTGTACTCGGCCAAGGCATCAAGGAGAGGCAAGAGAGAGCTCTCAAACCAGATTCCATTGTTGCAGCACGAGCTCAAGGAAAAAGTGGTCCAAAGGAGAGGATTAAAGAGGAAAAAAGTGGGGAAAAGTGTGAATAATTAAGGTAATGACCTTATTATAACTTCTCCTTTATTTTTCTTCTATCATATGAGGTATATATCATGTGAAGGACCCTTAGTATGGTTCCACATGTTATAAGAATGGATTTATGGGTTGGAAGATGGTTCTACGCCCAAAAACGGACTTAGAAGCCAAATCGATCGGTTCACCGGAAAATAACTTTTTATAGGTTATTTGTATTGATTAAGGTTTTATGATGTTAAAACCTTGTTAGGCACTTGTAAAGGGTATTTCAAGTGATTTCACAAAGTTGGAAAAGTCGCCGGAATTATCGCCGGAGTTGACCAAAAGTCGTCGGAGTTTCACCGGAGTTCAACCAAGAAGGGTAGAACTTCATAACGCTAGTTCAAGGTGAGTGGACGGCTTAATATCTTATAACTTTTGGGTTAATTATGAGATTACCTAAATAAATGTTATATGTGTTCATAATGATGTTTAAAAGATATTTAAACATGTGATTTGCCAACATGGTTAAGTTTGTATGAAAGAAATTAATTGCTTATGCATGGAATATGATATGAAGAATTATATAAAATGCATATTTGTTTGAAGTGTATTAGAAGCACAAATGAATATCTTTAACTTAATTATATGATGATTAAGTTGATACACGAAAGGCATGAAATGGCAGTCAACGAAAACGTTGACCGATGGACAAATTAAAGGATTTAATTAATACCGGATGGTATTAATTAATTATAAATCTATTTAAATGCATGGTTTTGCATGGATTTTGATACATAAGCTTTATGTATTGATTTAGCTATGAATGAATAGATATGATATAGACTCTATCTAGGTTGATAGGAGGTTGATCATAGGAAAATATTTTGGCGGAGGACCCTAGGACTTAAAAGTCCTTAACACTCATAATTTGGTGGAGGACCCTAGGACTTAAAAGTCCTTAACACTCAGATTATAAATTGGTGGAGGACCCTAGGACTTAAGGTCCTTAACACTCGGATTATAAATTGGTGGAGGACCCTAGTACTTAAAAGTACTTAACACTCAAAATTTGGTGGAGGACCCTAGTACTTAAAAGTACTTAACACTCAAAATTTGGTGGAGGACCCTAGTACTTAAAAGTACTTAACACTCAAAACTTGGTGGAGGACCCTAGGACTTAAAAGTCCTTAACACTCAAAATTTGGTGGAGGACCCTTAAAAGTACTTAACACTCAAAACTTGGTGGAGGACCCTAGGATTTATGAGTCCTTAACACTCGGAAAACAAATTGGTGGAGTACCCAAGGATTATGATCCTCAAAACTCATAGATTATGATATTGAAATAGGAACAAGGAGGAGTCCTATACACTCATAGGTATATGGGTGGGTTGGGGTTTTTAGTAAAGAATATTGACTATTACTATTTTTCCCAAATAAAACGGTGATCCACGGATCAGATATTTTCCAAGTATATATATATATACTAATAAGTATTTCATAACTTGGGGGAAAGACTATTTATATAAGTATCACCCTATGTTTGGGTCTTATACTTGAAACACTAGTTATTCTATATTTACCCTGCTACTCGCTCGGTACTTGTACTGACCCCTTCGGGGCCCCCCACCATTTTCAGGTTGAAGCTAGGGCTTGCTACTTGCACCTTCTTACGAGTGATATCACTTCAGGAAGACGTGGTTCGTGCTTCCTTATTTTCTTTCAAACTACCGAACACTTGCTCATGGATATTTGTTCTACTATAAACTATTTTTGGGGCTTGCATGCCCATGTTGTTGGCCAGTTGTGGCTTATGACTTACCGTTGAATATTTCCGCTATTCATTGGTTTAAATGTGATGTTGTTATGTAGGTTTACTACTGAGTATGGATGGATTATATTCTCGAACGCCTTGTGTAATTAAGTGAGGTTGACTCGCGGGTGACGTCACTTGATTATACGGCGGTTGTACACGCGCTTGGATTGCGGTCTGGGGCGTGACACTACACACCTCATCAAAATTACTCTTCTACACCACAAAATTTTCCATCTTCCTATTCTTACCCTCTTCCAAATACGCAATACTCTCATTCTCATTCTCCTCATCATTATCCTTATCCACAATATCCTCGGACAAAACCCGGCTCCATGATGGAATTTCTCATTCAAACTAAAAGTCCCGAGGAATTGGTTGATTGCTTTCCTAAAAATAGCATTTGTTCCTTCTGTGGAGGTGGTCACCATTCATGTCTTTGCCCCATTCCTCCATATGAGCATCCTTATTGGGCAACTGCATACCCCACTTCGTCCTGCCCACAACTTACAGACACAAATGTTTCAGCCACTCCTACATACTTCCCGAGTAATGAGCCTCATAATCAACAAGAGGATCTAGAGGAGGCAGATTTAAAGACATTTTCTAGCATGGAAGAAATACTCAAGAAATTATTGCAATTTCAACAGCAACAAATGCAAATTCAACAGCAAGCAGACTCAAGGATGCAAGACATGGAAAATCAATTGGGGCAGATTGCAAAGGCTTTATCTGAGGAGTCTGAGAGATCCCATCCTAGCGATGCAGAAACCCAACCTGAGGAGACCAATAGGGATGATCATGTGAGTGAGTCGGACTGCAAAGGTGGGAATATGATGGATGATACACTTCATGATGTTTTTGAAGACCCTCCTATGTTTGGAGAGGGAGAAGAAGATAATAGTGTCAAGTTGTTTTCCCAAGAATACAGGAAAAAGTTCGAAACGGTACAAGCTATAACTGATGAAGTCACAAATCACTGTGATCTTCATACAGAAACTCCCCAGTCGTTTGATTTACCATTAGTCTCAACACCTGAGGAGGGCATGAAGCAGACCAGTCATGATGATGGTGCTACTGAGGTAGGTTTGGATATTGAAGATGAGTTGGGAAAAGATGATTACATGCTCCAAGAGAGTGAGGGCGAGTTACATGATGTTCATAATGAAGAAGTCCCGCTCCACAAGCAAGAATTCCCCTCTTGTACACATGCACCGGTCCACTCTTTCGTGGTTTTAGATATGGACATCTTTGATTCAATCCTTGATGATGATATTTCTTTTTATGTTGAGAATGACAACAACATCCGCCAAGATATTGATAAGAACGATGTTAACAAGAGTTGGGATGCCTTCATGTGGAGTGATATAGAGTCCAGAGGAGAGGTTGTGAATTTTCATGATATTTGTGAGGAAGAAGGAGACTTTTCTATGGTGTAGTTTGATTACAATGTTGTCTCTAATCTTTGCTTTGAGGCATGTTTTGAGCTTCCGGTGATGCCTAGA